AAGTACGACAGTGTGCCTTTAAAAACAACATCTAGAAATGGACGTAGGTTTTACGTTGAGAGGACGCGTGAATGTAGGATACGAAGGTTTACTTCGTATCATCAGTCAGGTCATCGCGTCGGGTCGGATCGTCGCGACTGCTACAGGATGTGACCGTGGCAATGCTGTGGCGGCCCTATAATTGATATTGGCCGTAGATAGTGTAGACCCCACGGCCGCCACGGCAAATGTGACTGAGGTTTAAAGGTAAAGACCAGTTTTGGAAACGCCCCCTCTCAAAAAAAATGAAATGGAAGCTCTTATTACCAATCATGTGAAAGAATATGTTTTGACTAATACATGATGATAACAATTTTGCCGGGAAACCGCCTACTAATTGATATATTTGGAAAATTAGTTTATCTATTGGGACCAAATAGATAATACGCACGTGTCGCGCACGTGTGCGTAGTCCCATATACATCTTTCTGTGTACAGTGCTTGTAACTTTACGAAGACTGGGTCACATTTCTTATCATATTGATGATTCCAGAACCTTGCAGTACACACCAATACTTATATGCTAGATGATCAACCTTTTCTGATCGATTCCACAACGTTTCTTTCACAAGGCAATCCAGCATGACCAGAGAACTGGTCTTTATCTTTAAGGTATCAAGAGAATTCGTGCCATACAGGGGCGCCCTGAAATTTGGCGGAATTTGGCACGCAACAGATAAAATGCAGCTTTTGTTTCTATGGAAGACTAGACCTACTCATGTTGTAATTAAAGTGGACCTTCTGTCAACTCTCACCTTATTCGTGCCATTCCCATTGTTCTCTCTCAAAACCAGCGACACTTTAAATCTTCAAGCCCACTTGGTAAGGAAATTGAAGATAGAGCAAGAGGGAGCGGGATAGAAAGCAAAACAACTAGAAACAGAAAACCAGTGAGAGAGAGAGAGAGAGAGAGAGAGGATGCTTGTTTTTTAACGTTAACATTGAAACTTAATTAAAATTATCATTGTAGGTGCTGTTAGTGTTATGTTACAATTTATCCAAGGAAAACATATATTAAGAAACCCTTTCCTGCACTGTAAAAAAATAATAGTCGAAATAACTCAAAAAAATTGAGGAAAAGAATTGCCTTATTTTTATTAAGTAAATATTACCTACGGCATCTTAAGTAGAATTTACTTATTTTGCTGAATAAATTTTTACTCAGTTAAATCGAGTTACATTAACGTAAATAATTTAAGTATTGTAATGATTTTAGATAATTAAAAAAAGCTATGATAGGATTACATATTGCACGATTTGGTACCCATCTAATCTAACAAGTAACATCCACTAATCATTCACTACTTCTATTTAAGATTAATCACTAATCACTAACACTACTTCTATTTAAGATTTAACCGTATATATATATATATATATTATGTACCACCATCACAAACTATTACATACGCTTCAATTCGACACATATTGAAAGGCTCCAAATTTTATATATACTTGATCGTAGCATCTTAAAAGGAAAATTGGTTGACAATTTCCTAAAATATCAAGTTTTGATTTGTTTTGAACTGGGTAACAATTAAAAATTGTCTTGTCTTTGCTTAGCCATGTTAAATGAATTAGTAAATGTTTTAAAGTCCTTAAATTTTCATTCAACCACAAAAAAGAATTGTTTTATTTAAAAAAGAGTTTAATTTGGTCTTAATGAATATTCATAAATTATGTAAATATTTCTATTACGCACTGCATCGGTCCTTACTTTAAAAAGATAAGAATAATCAACATAAATTGTTTGAGTAATAGGTATAATTTCTGATTTTGAGTTAAAATGACTAAATTAATACAAGCTGAAATTACTTAAAGTTCTTATGTATTTGATTTTACTTAAATATTCCACGTATGTTCTACTAAATTGAAAGTTTGAGTTAGCAAGACTTAAATTTAGTGCGTAAGTGGCAAAACTAATGTTTTTTAAGTAAATTCTACATGGAAAAAATACGTAAAAATTACCAATGAACAAATTCTTTTTTACAGTGTGTGTGACCTATACTTATTCTCATTGTTATAGCCAAGAGCCTACTGATTTTCTTCTTTCCATCTAATCATATTGACAAGTACAGGCATTTAGCGACGCGTGACTTTTTAATACATTTTCTATTTGGGGCGCTAAGTGCAAATGAAGTAAATTCCGCAATCAGAGTTACTGATTACTAGGCAATAACACAGCCTCAAGTAGAGGGAGCATCTTGCGAAATATTGATTGAGCAAACTTTGTATTTCATAATGATTATAATCAAATACATGGCCGTATGAACGGTTCTAATCTGCTATGTACATGAAGCCCCCTACCATGCTTTCAGCGCTTGTAGCTTGGCGCAGCTTTCGGAGGCACGAAGGGCCACAGGGGAACGTGCCTCCCCTTCGAAAGTCAAACAAAATGGAAGAGAACAAACGAAAGGGAGAGTGAGAAAGAAACGTGAAGATAAGATGTCACAGGAGGCGCGATAGCGCAGTCGGTAGAGCAGTGGTCTCGTAATCCGGTGACCCGGGTTCGAAACCAAGGCGATGCGCTAGTGCCCTTTGGTAAGGCATTACCTCATTACCAGATCCCTCAGAGAGGACCAAAAGCCGTCGGCCGTCTGGTTGCTTACCTTCAAGCATTTATGCTTTCTTAGCAGTCAGGTAAAAAAACCACTACCATTCCATTCCATTCCATTCCGCAACCACTTTTCTCCCCCACCCCATTCGTTCTATGTCCATGCTTAGTCGTATTCACCTACTATGGCCGGTGGCTTCTTCACACCGGCGACCCTCTATTGCTATAGACACACGCAATACGCCCCTGATTCTTCATGGTACTTAATCGTTCGTCAGTTGTTGACATCTCATCGAAATCAGAAGATTTTATGTCTTGGTACAGCAACAATTTACTTTGTAACGCTGGAAGGCATTTCTGTACGTGTCATCTTCAAACGCAGCACGTGCCTCTTTAAGACGTTTTCTCTTTGTTATTTCAGCAGCGTATTCAAAAGTGTTTTAAATAATATATTTTAGATGAAGGACAATTTTCACTTGAATCTGTATTTGAACATTGAGAATCCTGAAATTTTCTCTCAGCTTTTAGAAGCGAATTGCATCTTTCTTCACTTAAATTTGATCTACTCTTTTGTGACTAACCAACCGACATGTCATCAGAAGCTTCGCTGAACTTCACATGTGATGTGTTTAATGAAACTCAAATTGACCCGCCAGGGAGAGGTAGTGTTGCAATTGCTTTCCGATTCATCATTATCCTGACGGATGCCATTCTGACTATTGTTGGGAATCTCGTCGGGATTCTTCTTCTCTGTAGAACTCACGAGATACCTGAAGGGACAAAGTTCTACATGTTATCACTCTCTAGTTGTGATTTCTGCATTGGGTTGTTATCAACTTTGTCACTAGCTCCAGCATACTTGGGATACTGGCCCTATGGGGATCTATATTGTCGTGTGAACGTTTTGATCATCAGTATTCTGTGCGGAGTTTCGATAAGTTTGCTTGTGACGATAAGCCTTGATCGGTATGTCGCAATCGTGTGGCCCTTGAGATACAATTCGTTGGCTACAAAAAAGAGAGCGATTAACGTTGCTGTGATTATTTGGATTGTGACGATTGTCATGAATATCCCTATGTGGTTACACAATAAATCGGATATCCGGTATGTAGATGAAGCGGTCTTATGTCTCCCATGTTGGACGGATGCAAATACGGTTCCAATGTTCGTCGTATGCACATTCTCAGGAATCAACGTTCCCATAATCGTGATTTCGTTCGTTTATTGCAGGATCATCTCCATCAGCAGAGTTCAAGCAATGCGCATCGCGGCTTGCCAGTCGAGCCCTCGCAACTCAGCGGGGCATCGATCTACCAATTTCCAAGACAACTGGACCGGTGCCGAACTCAATGCGAACGTCGTACGAAAAGCGCCGAAGAGACACGGTGCCAAGAACCTCAAGTCTATCCGCATGTTCTGCGTGGTTGCATTCGGGTTTGCCATAGCTTGGCTTCCATATTGTATCCTAACCGCCCTGGGACCGACAGATATCAACATACCCGAATGGGTAGAATTCATGACTCTTTGGCTTCTCATGTCTAACTCATGGTGGAATGTGGTGATCTACTTGGTGATGAATAAAAACATCCGGAGAAGCGCATCAAGACTGTTCCGGACGCAGGAGTAGACGCTCAAGCATTGGGAGAATCTCTAAAGGATTTAAGCACTATTCCCAAAGGACTTAATGCAGAAGCCACCCGGTTTCTGTAGACAATGGGTTAAAGCCCCACTGTACTACTTGTAGCTACTTCCTCCTTCTAAGTTCTATATGGGTCATTCCATCGGGTTGGGTCTTTTCAGCATTTTCATGTGTTTGAATGTTTAGAAGCTATTTACTCAAATTTAAATGGAGTTTTAGAAAAATAAAAGTATGTTATATTGAAGAGTAATGTAGTACATAATAAATAAACATGAAAAGAGAGACTTGTTCTTCATATTTTTTTTTTTGTGAGAGTTTTACTACCGATGTCTCAGCGATTTTGAGGGTGAAAGTTGTGACATGAAAACATGTCATTTTCATGAACTTATTTCTGAAAAAAAATTCATCATAATGCAATGTTTCCTACTTAAAACATGTCACCTTTAATACCCCTACTATGTTTGAGAAGCTCAAGTGAAATGTGCAAAAAATCGGAAAGTTATTTCATATTGAAAAAACACAATACCGACGTTACCAACAATGTCCTAGGCACTTTTTTCGTAACGGCGGTAATTCTAGCATTTTACACAAATTTAGCAAGATATTTTCTCAGAAAGTTTCATCTTATTAGGAAGGTACAACCCCTCATGAACATATGTAGAAAGAATGACGATTAAATCGGTCGGTAAATATAAGAAAACAATTAATTTACCGCGAAAATCGGGCGCGATGTCCTTCGTAATTTGGTAACGTCGGTGTAAAAATACGGTGTTTGAGATATAAACCAGCCCGCTAGCTTCAGTTTTCGGTGTTAAAATGACCTGCTAGTTATTCACGAATGCGCAGAACATGTTTTTTGCCGGACTGCGACGACCTACCCCTACACTGCAACCACAAACGTGAGAATGTCCATATAACGTCGGGCAGCCATTTTCGCCCGTCAGCGCCCAAATTGGTAGGTAATTTGTTTTTAAAGTTATTTTTATGGCCTGAATTATTATCATAGACAATGAAATTCCAGTTTGTTTAAATGTAATTCCGTTTAAAATTGTGTTATTTATAGCTTAAAACGGTTTCAAAACCATCACGTGTGAGTGAATATTTTACTGTTGTCCCACATACATATGTGTTATAACGAAACATGCAAAATCAATGCCGGACTTTTCCCCTTAAAAAGCTAATTTCTTAGACAGAAATTGAATTTTGTTATAAGAATCCCGTAAATAATGATATTCATGATGTTCCTACACCTCAGATTTTTTCTGACAAGTGTTAAATTAATTAATATTATTTATATGGTGCAATTAATTGTCATTGAACAATGATGGCTAAGCCTAACGAAAAACACAAGTTATTGAACATTGTTTCCTTTAAGTTAGGAAGTTCAATATGAGACCCGAAATACCAACATTTTGGGCAAAAAAGGGGGTTGGGGTTGAGATAGAGAAGAATAGGCTAAAGGGGGAGGGCACCCCCCCCCCCCGATTCAATTAATATTGGATACATAATAATGTAATGAGCCTTTTTTTTTTTAATATAATTTTTTTTTCTTTTTTTTTTCATAAATTAAATAATCATTGATCTGGCTCCCCCTTCCCCCTCATCCAAAGGTTGAAGTGAGGGATAAGGGGTTTCAACACCTTCCCCCTCCAAATAATGATAAATAACAAATATAATTTTTTAACAAAAATTTATAATTCAACACAAATATTATAAATATTAACAACCAATAATAATACCTACTTTTATTTTGGCATGCAACGAGCCAAAAGTGAGGATGGTGCCTCCCTATCCATCTTGCAATCCTCTGTCTAGTTGTTCCATCCTTAATTCTTACAATTTGATTTTACAACAGATCTAGAAGTACTTGATAATTGCAAACACAACACACGTTTGAAATGAAAAATCACAGAAACAATTTACAGTTTTGTTTTATTTTTATCTCATTAAATATTCTTTACTCATTGGTTTTTATGCATATTTATTAGATTGCTGCATCCATTTCATTCATGGCTCCTCTACCTCCCTTGAGGATTCAGCTCCGGCAGAGAGAGATCAAGAGAGCAGACAAAATGACCAGTCATCGAAACCTTCCTGGAAAACAAAGATCTTTCCAATCTAATCACTATTTTGAAGAAGATATAAAGTTGATCATTGATATATACCTCTTGTATGAATACTGTTTTTTAATTTACTGATCAAGGGATGAAATATATTTCAGATGACATTTGATGTAGTCTGTCATTTTTCAATGAGTATAAGAGGACAGTTACTCTAATATCATACGGATGTTACTCGGACATGATGTCCGTGTAACATTGGTAACTGGAGGTGTTGAGGTGAATATAGACCATAAATCTTGCAGGTTTCCTTTCAATTGTGTTATCATCTCATTAAATATGTTTCATGCATCAATTAATTAGCACATTTCTTGGAATGTAGCCAAGATTTTCTATGCAAGAGAAAAGATTACCCTTTAGAAAAAAAACATGATCTGAAAATTGCTAGTTCCTCATTTGTTTCATGTTTATAAATTGATATAATGTTGCTGTGTTCAAGTTTTAAGTATTCTAAACTATTGCTCCCATCATCTAAATATTTTCCACACACAAAAAAGTGGAGTACAGACTGTGACAAAGTTTCAGATCAGAAAATAAATGAGCAAGTAAAAAAAAGATGTCCTTGTAACGTTGGTTTTTTGGTGTGTCTGTTTTTTCATTTTAAATGAAAGTGTGCGAAGGAATACACACAATTCCAGTGGAATCTATTGAAGAAAATAGCATAAAATGCTAATCATGTCTGGTACCTTTAAAATACAGTATCTTAACATTTAACAATATCGAATACAGGTACAAATTACTTAAGCTACTTGAAATAGTTGATGAGATAGCCACCTGTCAGTGACCTCGCTGGGTGGTGTAATCCCTTATAGCCGAACTAGTACAGACTGCCTTTAATGTCCACCGCAAACGATGTGTGGTTATCCTAGCGTAAGGCTGCGTCAGCGAGTGGTGTGGCTTTTGACGCACCGTGTATAAGTGACGTAGTACAATAAGTGATGCACACTGCACAGTTCAAACCAAAGACGTTTTGGCATATGGGCTTTTTATTTTTGTTAATCCACAGTAAAGATTCGATGGATATATAACGCAATCAAAATGACGCCTCGTGTGCAGCTGCATAATGTTAACGATGCACGTTCCAGCGGAATCGCTTTGCACTCAATTTCTTATATTGACCTTATTCTTTACGTCAACCTTTGACGCAACTCTCTAGGCCTATACCAAACTGTAAATTTAACGTGTGACGTTATGCGCTAGAACATTGCTGTTGGTCTGGTCTCACCAATATCTTAATGCGATCTCATGGCTTTTGTATGATATCTTTTACAATTATGTTCTATAAAATTATGTATACAATTATAATCGCAATATGTTCTGAATCATGTAGACTACAAACCTAAACCCTGTGTTGTGTTTACGCTGTGGTTCAAAATCGGGTTGAACAATAAGGAAGTCACTTTGAGATCTAAACCTTCCTTTATCAAAGTGATCTCATTATCATGGGTGGGGTTGAACCGAATGAATAGAGAACGGTCCAATGAGTTAGCATTTGTGCATTTATTGAAAAATATAATACGAAATATTAAAATTATAATACTATATAATGTAATTGATCTACATAAAGTGTGGCAACTTGAATACAAATAGGACACAGAATAACTGAAAAATTGAAAGTATGAAGGTAAATCATATAAAAAAATCAAGAAAAAATACATAGGTTATAACTATCATAACTTATGCATGAACGCTCGAGTTGATAGCAGCCATGAAGGGGGAAGGGGGGGGGGGGGGGCATACGACGCTGTTATTGGAGTTTTTTTTTTTAAATCGCAGTGTCGACTATTTCAGGAGGAGTGGCGGGGGACAAGTCCCCGAGGGGGGGGGGGGGGGGGGGGGGGACGTCCACGTGATATTTAGAAATTCGCTCAACGAAAATAACAAATATTGTTATAGCCTCAGACACAAGTAAGAGATATGGAGAAAATGAGAAAAGTTATGGTTACTAAAATAAGATCTGGATATGCCTATTTTTTTCTTTTTCCCAATTATAGTTTTTTTAAATGCATACTTTCGTACAAGAAACCCATTTTATTCCCGCTCAGTTGCTTAGTGACCTTACAATTTTCTGTAAAATCTATATAATGTCTGGAAAATAAATTATAGGCGTACTTTCAATACGATTGTTATCATCAGCTAATTATTCAGTTTTGTTTTGTTTATAGAATAGAGTTCATCAACTAGTATTACCATACTAAAATTGGGGACTGCATATCTGTTCATTATGTTGGGTACCAACACATGTTAACAATTATGGACTGTTCTATTGTCTTCATGTTGGGTCCCTTGACAATAATGATAATAATAATAAAGATAGATTTATTGAGCGCATAATAAACCGAAGTTTCTCTATGCGCTTTACAAAGTAAAAACAAATCAAGTACAAGTATATTCAAATAGTTACAAATTAAGAACGAAATATAAAGACCTAAAGCTAAAGACATGTAGAGAATTCATGGCGAGCAAAGTTAATACAAATAGCAAATACTTATGATAAATCAATTAGAGTAGCATATTCAATTATAATACATAGATGAAAAGTAATGTCCAAAAATTACAAACGAAACAGGTAAGTTTTAAGAAGGGTCTTGAAAGTCTGTCGTGTGGGAGCTTGACGGACATGCAGAGGGAGCGAATTCCAGAGAGTTGGGGCAGCCACTTCAAAAGCCCTGTTGCCATAGAAATGAGTTGAGTGACGAGGAACTTGCAGGAGGTGCTGGGCTGAAGATCTGAGTGTGCGTGTAGGAACATAAGGTGAAATCATATCTGAGATGTAGGCAGGACTCATGTCGTTCTTGGCTTTGAAAGTGATGAGCAGGATTTTGAAGATTATTCTCTTTTCGATTGGGAGCCAGTGAAGATCATGAAGAAGGTGTAAAGTATCGTGTCTGCGTGGGGCTCTTGAGATGATTGTGTATTCATCATATCCCCCTAATGTTCTATTTCAAGTTTTTGTTGATCTTATTCTAAATCATAAAAATCATTATTTGTTGACAACTATTATTATGTACTTTGATTGTATTTTGAGTCGTTACAGATAATTGGGGTTGAACCCCCTTCAGTTTTTTGTATGGGTGTATTTTGGAGCAACCCCCCCCCCCTTCCCCTTTGTAATTTTTTTTTTTTTTTTTTTAAATTATGCTGATGGCTGATCTAAAAAAGGTGATATTATACCCTCCCCCCCCCCCATGGAGCAAAATGTCAAATGTTCAAATTTTGAGACCCCCCCCCCCCCCCCCGCTTATTCAGCGGCTGGCTGAGTCGTTGCGATTTTGGGACCCCCTCCCCCCCCCCCCAATGCGTGCATGACATTTCACAAATTCTTTTATGAACTTTGAAGAATTCATAATCATTGATTTTTATATAAATAGTTTATCAAATTCACATTTTTCATGATTTAACAGAACAAAATTACTCTATATCAGAGCATCCACACAGAAACGTACATGTATCAATATAACTTGGATGCTGGTGTGAGGAAATAAGATTCTTCGGGGGGAAATGGGAAATTTATATTATCAATATTTATTTTAAAAAATTAGTGGATAGTGAGGCAATGGCGTCACAGACTCTGATTTTCAAAGTTTTTCATGGCATTAAAAATTCATACCTTTCGATTTTGCTCAAACCCTATTGAAAGTAATTTTTTTTTTGGATCGGACTTGCCTTCAATAATTGCCATGTAGGCCCCCCGGGGGTAGGCCCTCGTAAAAGGGAGGCTTGCTGGAACCCCTGGAACGCTCCGTAGGAGTGGAGAGTGTGTACTGTTAAATGCAAAATCGTAACAGAATCCAGGGAATTGAACAATTATAATTAAAATGCTTTCAGCGGTAAAAACTAAAAAGGTCTGCAATACCCGTCCACTTTACTGAACAATTAACAATTAAAGATCTGTTGCTGACTTTCCAATGCTATTAATTCGTAACGCTTGAGTAAAGACTAGTTTCCCGTATGCGCGTCTGATTCTCGGGCTGATTCTACTCTGCAGCTCTGGTAAGAAAATGATTTATTACTCACTCTCATATTTCAAAGTAAACAAAATACATGTGGGATATGGTATTGAATGGATTGATTGTTTGACAATCCCAGTAATAACTTTGATGCTGTAAACATAACATGTCAAGGAACAATCTGTTCTGCTGTTTGGACGAGTGCCGTATCATAGTCCCAGTCGCTGAAATTGGTGTATCGTTTCATGGTGTCTGAGCTGAGCTGAATGTCTTGCAATGCCAATGGCAATGCTAATGCCAATGGATATGGATTGATGATGTGTTGCTCGTTAGATCTGTGCTGGTCCTTATATTTGAAATACATCTATGTCGTAGGTGATGTGCTGTGGAAAATGTCTTCTTCTTCTTCTTCTTCTTCTTCTTCTTCTTCTTCTTCTTCTTCTTCTTCTTCTTCTTCTTCTTCTTCTTCTTCTTCTTCTTCTTCTTCTTCTTCTTCTTCTTCTTCTTCTTCTTCTTCTTCTTCTTCTTCTTCTTCTTCTTCTTCTTCTTCTTCTTCTTCTTCTTCTTCTTCTTCTTCTTCTTCTTCTTCTTCTTCTTCTTCTTCTTCTTCTTCTTCTTCTTCTTCTTCTTCTTCTTCTTCTTCTTCTTCTTCTTCTTCTTCTTCTTCTTCTTCTTCTTCTTCTTCTTCTTCTTCTTCTTCTTCTTCTTCTTCTTCTTCTTCTTCTTCTTCTTCTTCTTCTTCTTCTTCTTCTTCTTCTTCTTCTTCTTCTTCTTCTTCTTCTTCTTCTTCTTCTTCTTCTTCTTCTTCTTCTTCTTCTTCTTCTTCTTCTTCTTCTTCTTCTTCTTCTTCTTCTTCTTCTTCTTCTTCTTCTTCTTCTTCTTCTTCTTCTTCTTCTTCTTCTTCTTCTTCTTCTTCTTCTTCTTCTTCTTCTTCTTCTTCTTCTTCTTCTTCTTCTTCTTCTTCTTCTTCTTCTTCTTCTTCTTCTTCTTCTTCTTCTTCTTCTTCTTCTTCTTCTTCTTCTTCTTCTTCTTCTTCTTCTTCTTCTTCTTCTTCTTCTTCTTCTTCTTCTTCTTCTTCTTCTTCTTCTTCTTCTTCTTCTTCTTCTTCTTCTTCTTCTTCTTCTTCTTCTTCTTCTTCTTCTTCTTCTTCTTCTTCTTCTTCTTCTTCTTCTTCTTCTTCTTCTTCTTCTTCTTCTTCTTCTTCTTCTTCTTCTTCTTCTTCTTCTTCTTCTTCTTCTTCTTCTTCTTCTTCTTCTTCTTCTTCTTCTTCTTCTTCTTCTTCTTCTTCTATATACATGTAAGTACAGGCCACCATCGGGTGTATTCTTCAGTTACAGTAGATCTACAGCCGGCCACCGTCGCGTCGGGTGTACAGTAGGGGCGGGCGCTGGTCCGAGAATGAGGATCATCCTCATAAACAAGGATATCCTCAT